CTGGAACACATTTGCTATTGAGCAATGTCTCTGGACAAGTCTTATCTACATGCCCCAGAGACTCTTGCTGCTGGCATCAAATAAATATTTAAATCCTTAAAAGTACCTCCTGTTCAGATTACACAAGTTACCTATCTTCTCAAAAATCACAAGTCTTTTAAAACAGTTGTAAAGGTGAACGTCCAAAAAATAGAATGACAAATGTCACAGATTTTGATGCCTCCTTTCTTATTTTCTTCCCACTGAAAATTAARATGTTTCAGAAATATTATATTAAATATGAAATATTACATTAAATATTACTTGGTACAAAATGTTAAATTCTTCTAAACTGGTCTGATGGAACCTGGACAGATATGCAAGCCTCAGTCTCTTTTAAGTCCTGTAAAGCAAAACAAACTGGTTTTCCTCAGGAAGAATCTTTAGTAGCTTCTACTTTATATTGCACACTAATATACTGCTTTCCCCTATGTAGTAGAAAAACTACTTCTGTAATAATCATTATTTAAATATGTTTAATGATCTTTTAAATGAATATGATGTCAAGTTATTTGCAATCCTAGCAGTGAAATTAAATACGCTTTCCAACGCTTTTTATGAATGTGGCATATTGCTGCACGGTTTTAACATTTCATTGTTGGCATAACCTGCGCTTTTTTTCATGTATTACAAATGGTCATCCTACACTGAATTAAATAAAAGGTACTGAGTTGCTGCACTTTTCTGAAGCCATTCATATCTATGTCTGAAGAGAAGCAACTTATGAGCTGAGGTTCCATCTCAAAGTTGAGAGGGTAGGAGTTTTTAAGATAAATAAAGATGAGAGAAGTCCAAATCACTTGGTTTAGGCYTTTTTCCTGTATTCGTGCTTTTGTCAGAATTCTGGTAAGCTACTGAGATTCCTGAAATATGAAAACTGTTTAATCAGGCTGGTTTAATTATTAAACAGCTTGACCAAAATCAGCTATGGCTCAGGGAGCTCTTACTCCACCAAATTTGATCTCTTCCAGAAGATCATCCCTGTTACTACGTTTTGCAGAACACAAATCTACCTCTACAGCTGCCAAAGAAATCTATGTAAGGCCAAAACCGAGTCTTAACCATGTTTTTTCCACTGTAAAGATGCTAGCCAAGATATTGCATGTCCCCTGTTACCACACATTCTGGGTGTCTTTGAACCTTATTTACAATTCTTGCCACTGTATCTCCAAGAGAAATCCAGTCACCCTCATTTTATGTGTTGGGCATGGATGAAACAATGCTCAACTGTTGACTTGGAGTTTGTAGGTAGCTTGTGGTAATGCAGAGAACTAAAACTAGATCTCACTAATCCCAAGATAGAGCTTTACCCTTAAATCATCTTGTCTTGGTGCATGCATATTTTAATTATTTGTTATAAATTCTTTCTGAGACCACTACCTTTTTCTATAGTAGCTGATATTCATGGTGTTGTTCTTCAAGCATGAAGTAAGTATTCCAGGGTCTAGCATCAGGAAAATCAGGGAGATGCTTGTGCAGATGATGGAAGTTGGCATGTTTGCCAGCGTGCCACTGAGATCCAGCTTGGGAAACCCCTGGGGCTACAGATGGCTTCAGCAAATTTCCCCTTTGAAATTCAGCCTTTGACCCTCCCAAGTCCACCWCTTATCATTGGCTTCCCCAAGAGAATAAGTTGGTTGTGTTTCCCTGGGAGGTTACCAGGAGACACAGCAAATTAACACGTTTATACCACATGAAGGCTACTTCATCAGGCTCAACGAGACCATAAAAAAAGCATTGTGCTGCAGTTTATATGGCAAACCAAGGCCTTGTCTACACTGCAAATTTTCATCAGCACAGCAATATCTGCATGCAGAGGCAATGTGCACTGGCAAAAAAACACTTTCCCTACGACCTTCTAGATCTGGAACCACAGAGAGAGAAAGGTATATTGAGAAACATAAGCACTTATATCTATAGAACAATTTTGGCAGCAGGACTTGATCAAACATCAGTACATTGGTTATAGCAGGATTTTTCWTTCCCTAGAAACACTAGGGATATTGTTTCTTTCATCCTTGTAACTATGACAGTTAACAATTTCCACTAAGTAAATGAAGCCTCACAAARACCTTTGAAAATGTGGCTTAAGTTTCTTCTAAAAATGGGATCAAGGAGGCCTTATCTTCAAAACAGAAAATGTATTCTTTCTGTATTTTACCCTCCAACTCACACAGTTAGTGAGAAACTGTTTCTGGCCTCTCGTAGCCACGACGTCTGTACCGCAAACCAGCTATTAGGAATTCCAACAGTAAAACCGTGACCTGATGGTGCTCCAGGGCCTCTCTTTTGCTATGCAGATGAGATACTTGTTGGCACAGGTATATCTATGTGTTTTTTAGAGAGGGTATWTGTGCACTGCCTCCGTTGTTTGCTCTGCTGTGTTGGCTGCCAGTGGTGCAATGCTGTTTACCCAAAACCCCTGGTCAGAGCCCAGTCAAGGTCATGAGYGGTGGGTCTTCAAAGCTCAATGTGCCCTCTGAAGCCGTCTTGGTATGGGAGGAGCAGAACTTTCTTATGCCACTGGGGGACTACAATGTTTACTACTGAACTACTGTTAACTGTTTCCTGTTAACTGCTGTTATTGAATTAAATTTAAAAATACGTTCAGCTCTCTGTAGTTTGTTTAGAATGTCTCTTCAAACAAGCAGTGTTGCAACAAGGTTACACTATGAAGAGTGAGGAGTCATATGTTAATCTCTGGTGTCCTTATTTCCACCGTTTATCGGTAACAAATATTATTGCAAAGGTTTCTTGTAAGTGAGAATTAAAGTTACCTTCACATCCAGGGAGCAAGTGGGTTACTAAACATTAATRAGTGAGGTTATTCACCTTGTTCTTAAAAACAGCACACAGCCTACCAGAAATCTGTTCTAAATCTTGATTTGCAAAAAATTGCACAGCTACTGCAACTGTAGCTTTTACATACTAAATACAGCACATCAAGTATGGCTTATAACAAAAATATTCTAATTAATATTGCTAACAAGATTTAATGAAGTCCACCTTGGACTAAATCTTCTGGAAAAGAGGAAATTATTACAGAGATTAATTTCATTTCTGATTTTCTAAAACATTGCAAGAATACCAGGAAATAAGCAAAGATTAAAAACTGTGGAAAAAGATTGCTTGTGAGAAAATGAGAATAAAAATAGGGCTATGTGAATACTACTACTAATAACAATAAACAACACATGATTTTTTTTTCCAAAATGTACATGGAAGATTTTATTTTCAAGGATAGATACAAAACTTTTGCATTTCAAGTAAACTTTTCTTTAAGAATGCAATAAARAATAAGCCCAATTCCTTTCAAAAGACAGTAGAAAGGAAACAAGCATATCACAGTACTTTATATATTAGCAGAGATGTAGCCCTTAAGCCACTTCTGCACATTAAACACATCAGTCAGGCAATGAAGCAAGAGCATACACCTCTGCTTATGTTTTAAACAAGTAAATAAAGGCTTTGATATCCTAATCCTCCTAAATCTTCTTTTAAGACTTGTGTAGCTTGAGTTGGAGTTCTGAAAACAGGCAGGGCACGCTTCTCTCCAAATTCCCAAGAGGGTTTCTCCGGCTCCCCTGTGATCTCACCAGCCCAGGAGGATGCGATCGGCTGGCACCACAGTGACCTCCTGCCCCACCGAGCTCGTGCTCCAGATGGCCACCAAAACGGGGTTGGATGGGGCGTCCCCTCCTCGAGGTCACCAAAACGGGGTTGGATGGGGCGTCCCCTCCTCGAGGCCACCAAGAGGGGGTTGGATGGGGTGTCCCCTCCTCAACGCCACCAAAATGGGGTTGGATGGGGTGTCCCCTCCTCAAGGCCACCAAAATGGGGTTGGAAGGGGCATCCCTTCCTCGCGGCCACCAAAATGGGGTTGGATGGGGCATCCCCTCCTCAACGCCACCAAAATGGGGTTGGATGAGGCATCCCCTCCTTGAGGCCACCAAAACGGTGTTAGACGGGGCATCCCTTCCTCGAGGCCCCCAAAACGGGGTTGGATGGKGTGTCCCCTCCTCGAGGCTGGCTCCAGCGCCATGCTTGACCACGGTCATCTCCACCGAAGCCTCTGACATTTGCCAGCATTCCTGGTGGTATTCCCGGTGTCTCRCCATGGTCACGATAGGTCCTTGGGTTACGAGCAAAGCCTGGYTCCCAGGCCCAAAAAGGTTCCATTTTTAGTGCTGCAGGATACACTTTTTAAAAAAATATGGTAATGCATTTCCAGTTCATATAAAATTTTATTTTCCATTTGAAATAGACRTAACTTAAAGATATCTTTCCAAAAGGGAGTTTTCTTTCTTTCTTTTTTTTTTTTTTTTCCTTAATAGTACATAGCATTATTTTTTTCTATAGAACTGGCATTTCAGCCCTGGACTTAAATCTTTTTTCCACATCCACCTCATTGCATGTTCACAGTTGCTTCAGCTTCGACACCTCATGATGAAAATAATAATCACAACGGCCAAGCGTGTTCTATAAAACACACAAACCCGCTAGATACGCCGCACACYGAAACGGGCACGAACGGCCCCACACCACCCGTGACGGGGCGCGCACATCCCGCTCCCGGCGGGGCGTTTTGCGGGAGCCGCCGCGGCGGGTCACGAAGCCCCATGCTGCTCCCTGCTGCCCGCTAGCCGCAGCGCAGCGCCACGCTCAGCGTTTCTAGCCTCCAAACACTGGCACACGTGCCGTTCCGCCGTGYGCGGGTCTTCCCGTGGCCGCGGCCACGGTGAGGGTCGCGTCTGGACACGAGTGTCCCACCACCGCGGCAACCGACCCCCCAGCGGGACTCGAACTCGCGGCTCCTAGGACAGGAAATGGCGAGTGGCGCCCTCCGCCTCCCGCCTAGTGCTCCACGCGCGCGCATGCGCACAGGCGGCACGCCACTTCCGGTGCGGCGCAGGGGCAGGCGCCGGAAGTGCCTCCATCGCGAGCGGCGGCGGCGGCGGTTGCGGCCGTTGGAGCGGGCCGGCGCCATGGTGGAGGTGAGGCCGGGCTCAGCAGCGCCTGCGGCCGCGCGGGAATACGGGCGCTTCGGTGCCGTGCGGTGGTGCCGCTGCGAAAAGTGGTGCGGGGCGCCGCGCTTTGGACTGGCGGGGAGATAGCGGAGYAGAACCCACGGGAGCGTTTTCAGAACCGGTTACTTCATTGCCTGCGTATAAAAACAGAGCAGGCAGGTGTGAAGGAACAGCGTGCATGTATGCATGCGTATTTATGGCATAGATGCCAGAGCAAAAGTTTGATCAAAGTTTTTGACCTGTTTTTCTTAATTTTAGAGCTTTCCAGAAAGGAGGAGTTGACTAAACATAAATAAAAGAATTAAGGGATGAACTTTAATTTTAGCATATACCAAGAAGGCTGTKTTCAGCAAACTAGATAACATCATATCTTTCAACACCATTAGAGCCTCAGRTTGCTACTTTGTTCAACTTTTATCRTTGTTTTCAATCTATTCAGCTGTGGCCAAATGTACTTAAATGTGCATTCCTTTATTTTCAGGAAGTGCAGAAGCATTCTGTGCACACTCTGGTGTTCAGATCAYTGAAGAGAACCCATGACATGTTTGTAGCTGATAATGCCAAGCCTATACCACTAGATGAAGAAAGGTATGTGCTGTAATTAGTGAATTACTGGTACATATTTGTTATTGGTAGTGATTTCTGTAGCCAAGTCAGAAATTCAGCAGGTTTTATAGAATTGAAGTGTGGTGTTAAGGGAAGAAAACTTGAGGATTGTAGAGTAAGTAGCAAAATACTTCAAAATTTAATAACAACCCCAAATTAGGCTTGAATATGCTTTGCTCTTCCACCAGTCACAAAGTGAAGATGTCAGTCAAGCTGCGTACAGAGTACGGCTCGGTGTTGCATATGCCCACCCTGAAGGAAAACTTGAGGGAGAAAGGAGGCGCAAAYGCTGGGGATCCTTATGGACATAAACAATATTCTGGAAATCAAGGTCAGTTTCCTCTCGTTGTGTGTTTGCCTTTGGTTTTGTACAAGACAGTCTCACTGTTAAATCTCAGGATCATGATGTTAATTTGTCATGGATATAAAAGTAAATCTTAACAACTGTTTGTCATTGATCTTTGGGTTCTGGCTGGAGATGTGATGTTAGTGATTTAGAACAAGGAAAAGATTTGCTAGAACTCATGGAATTGTGTGATACTGTGTATTTTTGACAGTAATTGACCAACATAATGTGCATTGTGCTTTGATAATGGAAAAATAAGATCAGCAATGTATTTCTCYTTTTTACAGTTTGGTGATGGTTAAGGATATGCATTTTTGTTTAAGTGTTGCAGATTTTTTTTTCAGATTTTCTTATGTGTGCCGCTATTAAAGTAGAAAAATCTCTTTAATTCTATTTTGTCGTCTTTTTTTTGATTATACATTTAAGATGGGAAACCATTAAGTTAAAAATATCAAAACTATGAAATTATCTAAATTTCTTTTTAAATGAAATTTAATTTCATTAAAAWGAAAGTTTTTGAAAATTGAAAATTGAAATTAAATGAAATTTCATTTAATTATCAAAACTATGTGAAACTTCTTTTAAAAAAGAATACCAAATGCCTTATTTTAGTAGAGGTTTACTGAAGCAGAGTTATCTACTTCAGAAAGGCATTTTTGGCAACATAAAGAAGTTTTTCTCTTGAGAATGAGTTCCTTTTTGATAGCAGGCAGTGGCATGACGATTTAAAAATGGTATTTGACTAGTCACTTCTAGAAAACTGGGATAACCAAAACACGTGCATTTCAAGTAAGTGTTGTATGGTACATAGGGTTGATGTTATGTATGGCTTGCTCTGATTTTCTTCAATTTCCTGTTTGACCATGTCACTTGCAATGTAGTTTAAAGTAAAACTATTATTTGTTATTAAGAAACTCTTTTGTTTTTTAGGACAGGAACTTGACTATGTGATAACTGGTACACATCCATACCCACCTGGGCCTGGTAAGCAAGTTTGTTGCTGTTTTTGCTGTTGTTTTTTTTTTTGTTTGTTTTGTGTTTTCCTTTCCTGTATAAATTGGACATCATTCAGTTCCTCGGAAGCTTCAAGTTACTGTGAATCCATAGTTGATAGTAATGAGATCTGCCATTTGCCTCTTTCCTGGTACTGATGTAGAGAGTTTTGTGGCTGAGAAATGTTCCAGATTAGGAGGTGCCAGCAGGATTTAGGTGCAGAGGAAACAGCTTTCTTCTCACTATACCGTGGCATGCCTTGTCGCATGTGTGCTTGCTATGAGGCTTTCATTTGTTTTGGGAGACAGAAGGAAGTGAAACACATAAGGAAAAATGTGCTGTGTGTTTCATCAGTACAGCAAAAAGATGTAGGTATCAGCACCTTTCCTCTGAAAAGGGTTGTTAGTGTCAGATAATTCTGGTGTCATTTGGTTTGGTGCATGTCTGCAAGGGTTGTATTTCTGTTGTTATTATTGGCTCTTGCTTTTTGTCATTTTAATTGATGGTTCCTGCTCTCTCTTTGTGATGGTTTAATTTTGATTGTTGATCTTTTACTACTAACAGTTAAATTTATTTTAAGCGGTATGGGAAATCTTGTCTGGCTTGATGCAAGTTAGAAGGTGTTCAGCAGACCTTTGGTCCTTAAAAGTAACCTGCATATTTTCCTGTGACTGTGGGGACAAGACTGATTCACACAAGTTTCCTCAAGTTCATTGCTCTTTTAATAGAGCCAGCTATGTCAAGGTTAAAAACTAGGTTTCTTTGCTGTTGTTTTACATGGGCATCTTACCCAAATACTGTCTTTGTTGTCAATTGCCAGAGATTTGGTCTGGRAGGGAAATAGATAAATTGGTATGAAATTCATTGACCAGTTTGTCTCAAACTATTGTTTTTTGTGGAAAAAGTGACATGTTGTTCTTAGAACAAGAATATAAGTTATCAATTGTAGTCTGAAATTCTAACCAAATCTTCTGTAGTTCTTGCCCCGCTTCATGGGGCACATAGAGACTACATAAAAATAAAGTACAATAAGGGGCATACTTAGCAAAATTGTTTCTGTCTGTGATCACAGTTGGAACTGTGATGTTTACAGTTCCACTGTTTTGATGAAAGTGTCCTTTTTCTAATCCACAAGCTAGGCTTCACTTGTTTCCTCTGACAGAATCAGACCGCTTCCTACTGTAGAAATCGTGTACTTATCTGTATGTGTGTGCATATATGTACAAAATCAAGACAAGGAGTGTTTGGATCAAAATAAAAAATCATTTCTGCAGCTTTGCCACGTATTTATGAATAATAATGTCAGCGAATGGCAAGATTTAATATTAGAGGTGTGATAAACACTTTTACACAGGTGTATGTGTACATGTGTGTTTATTTGTATAGTATTTTCTTTTTAACAGATTGGTCTTAGTTTTACTGTATTTTCTTTTAAGGTGTGGCGCTGACAGCAGATACTAAGATTCAGAGGATGCCTAGTGAATCTGCAGCCCAGGCATTAGCTGTAGCACTTCCTCCATCTCAGTCCAGGTACTTTCAGGTTGCTTCATTAATATTTCTGYAATTTATAGGCATTTCAAGGAAAAAATGCAAAAGCTGGGATAAACATATCTAGAGTATTGTATTTCTCTACATTATTTTAAAAAAAGTCTTTTTAGCATGGGTGGACATTGTTTTTCTGTACAGTGTTATCGGATGTTGGGAGAGACAATAGAAAAACCCAATTAGATGCAAGGGAAGACTTTCAGCTGTGTGTTTGCACACTTTGTGCCTCTACTTTGTGAAAGCACAAGGTTGATTCTAGCGAGTTACCATTTTTTTCACGACACCTAGGTTGGATGCGAATCGCACCGCGGCTGGCGTGGGTGACATCTACAGGCATGCGGGAATGGCCGAGCGCTCGCAGCCTCCTGGCGTGGCCATGGTGAGTTAGTCATGGATGAGGCTTCTGCTCTCAAAGCAGGCCGTGTTCACCGAATTGCTTCCAGCTTCACTGGAGTTGGGAATAAATACATTTAATCAGTTTTGAGATGTCGCAATAAGGAGGCTTTAGGCTTTATATGAAGAGTTAAAACATAAAAGTAACCTTCCTTTTAATTTATAGGCTGTAATGGAAGCAGGTGGAAACAAAAATTCAGCATTAATGGCAAAGAAAGCACCAACCATGCCCAAGCCTCAGTGGCATCCACCTTGGAAACTGTACAGAGTAAGTTAAGAACTTAAGATCATGGACACAAAAATAAGCAAATCTTTTATGTTTTATAAAGACTGCAAAGCTTAGATTTATTTTTCTCATTCATGAAATGGAAAAAAAAAATGAAGTCTAATGAACTTCTTTACTGTTAGGGTGACAGCRCACTGGCACAGGCTGCCCGAAGAGGCTGTGGAGTCTCCTTCTTTGGAGATCTTCAAAACTTGCCTGGATGTGACCCTGTGCCATGTGCTCTAGATGTCTCCGTCTGAGCAGGGGGATTGGACTAGATGATCTCTTCTAACTAGAGGTCCCTTCCAACTTTAAGCATTCTGTGATTCAAATGAAAAGGGATCATGCCTGATTTGTATGCATACTTTTTCCTTTTAATAACAAGATTAGTTAGAACCTTTTTTTTCATTCTGTGAATGTTACTGATTTTACAATTTTGTTTATGTAGGTTTATCTGTAGCGTGATAAAATCTTTAAAAAGTTTTGTCTTCTCCAGTCAGTAGTTAGTGCTTATGCAGTGCTTGTTATTGTATAAGCACTATACAGTAGTTGTATTTAAATATATTTTTTCTCTGTGAAGTCTGAAGTGTTGAGCCACTGTATTACGGACTCAAAGGATTTGAGACCATGACTTAGTGGTGCAGGATTTAAACCCCAGTACAAGTTCTTTAGGTCAGCTTTACGACATTAATGAAAGGACAAGAGACTACCAGAAATTTACCAAAGTAGAACCAAAGCTAAAAATCAAGCTCTTCTCAGATTTGACTTTCCAGAGGAACATGCATTTCTTAAGTTTCAGTGGTAAAGAAGGAAAATTACATTGACAGATATGTTTATTTCTGATTTTTCCAAATTTCTTATTTGCCTAAAGGTTATCAGTGGTCATCTGGGCTGGGTGAGATGCATTGCAGTAGAACCAGGAAATCAATGGTTTGTTACTGGCTCAGCTGACAGAACTATAAAGGTAAGGGGTTGCAAGAAACTACCGACAAATTTAGTTGTCTTGCTCATGCYGTTTAGAAATATTTTCAGCCCCTGGAAACAGTTTCTTATTAGTGTGTACAGAATGTATTGTTCCCCCTTTTCTCCCTTTTGTTACCTAGTTACAAGAAGATTTGTTGTAGTATTATTTCTTTTTGAGATCTTACACATCATATGGTAGTAGTTAGCAAACATTTATGTCACAAATTCCAAGAAATACTAATTTCAATCMAGCTTGTTCTTTTTTTTTACCTAGGATATTTACCCAGGCAACCTTTATGTAGCTTTATACTCATCTGTCTCAAAATATTTTGATGCAGATTTGGGACCTTGCTAGTGGCAAATTAAAATTGTCTTTGACGGGACACATCAGTACTGTGCGAGGGGTGATAGTAAGTGCAAGAAGTCCGTACCTGTTCTCTTGTGGAGAAGACAAACAAGTGAAATGCTGGGATCTTGAATACAATAAGGTGAGCTTTAGCCTCTTTAATCAGAGTTAATTGATAGAGGTAAAAAGGTAAAAATCAAAACACTTGAAATATATTTTTTAAGTATCCAGTTAAACTTTTTCCCCCCTTCCCCCACCTCTATCTAGGTCATCAGACATTATCATGGTCACCTAAGTGCTGTCTATGGTTTGGACTTGCATCCAACAATAGATGTACTGGTGACATGTAGCAGAGATTCAACAGCACGAGTAAGTAGAACTTTGTTTTAGCACCTTCATTTATAGAAGTAAGTAGGTAGCAAAGATTAAATATGTATCAAAGATTAAAAATGAAGTCGAATTTGTAACTCTGTCTCCTACGTAGATAAAAACATTAAGCATTTTATTGTACCCCTACTATAGGCAAATGTAGTGTAACTTCAAGAGAATGTTYTACTTGATTGGGTAGGTAGGCTTTGTTATAAAATCACTTCATTTCTTGTTTTTAGAAGATGGTATAGCTTGAGAATGAGCTATTTATATATCATACAAATTGAGTACTAGACTCTCTACTCCTTGTAATTTGCCACTCAAAGCAATTCTGTGGTGATAAGAGCCCAACTAAATACTGTGTTTTTAGCTGTAGAACTATGACAAGAATTTCTTAGAGTTGTTAACAGTACCTAAAATATATTGAATATGCATCTTTTCTTGATCTCTGTAACTTACTGTGGTTTCGTAGATATGGGATGTGAGGACAAAAGCCAGTGTGCACACGCTGTCAGGGCACACAAATGCAGTTGCAACAGTGAAGTGTCAAGCTCCAGAACCACAAATTATTACAGGTAGTGTACCCAATGGTTGCTTTTCAGTCATGTAATYTATACAGCAATAATGAATATATCTGTTCTGTGATGTGATGAAGGTAGTGTTGTCATCTGTTAATTCATTTATTTCTCTTATTTTTCTGTTAAGTGAGCTGTATAATTTTTTGTGCTATTAATGGTATGCTTAAGCAAATATACTTGTGCATTGCTTTAAAAAATTGTTTTTCTGTTTCCTGTGTTTGAAGTTYATAAATTTTTGTTATAATGCAATTGAGTCCTTGTATTTTGTGTAAAAATAACTCTTTTGTAATTGTTCATCCAGTTAACTGTCTAGTTCCATGGTTAAATATGAGCTACTTATTTCTCACTGTGTCAAAATCCAGTTTTGCTTTGTAACTACTTAAATCTTCTTGCATTTCAAATTGCATAAAATATTCCTCTGATTTTTCTAAACATTTCTAGTAGTGCTGAAGACTGGCTGAAGACTGTTAGCACCCAGCACATTTTACTTTTGAGGCTGTATTAATAGTAAAGAGCTCAGGGCTCGCTTAGGGAGTTTTCGTCTTTTTTCTTTTTTTTTTTTTTTTTTCATTTTTGGTAGTTAAGATACGGTAATTTTGTCTCTAACATGATGAAATTTGCCTGTCTTATGAAAACAAAAGGATTAATCTAATGCCTTTTACTATGTTCTTTTTTGTCATTTTTRCAGGCAGTCATGATACTACAATAAGGCTCTGGGATTTAGTRGCAGGAAAAACTCGTGTTACTTTAACAAAYCACAAGAAATCTGTAAGAGCAGTTGTACTACATCCAAGACAGTAAGCTTTCCTCTTTTTTTTTYTCTTCTTTCATAGCTTGTAACAGTGGACAGTGACAAAGTTAATGTGACAGGAGTAACTAATGAAAGAAGTGCTTGGAAGGGTTTAAAATGTACACACTAATAAAATATTTGTTTGCAAAAGCTTTTAATACACTGATTCCGTTCTCCAAGTACTGATGTTGGTGTATGTTGGAAATTCCCAGAATTTCTTATTCTTACTCCACAGAACTTTTTACAAGTGCTTTGATGAGGTTTTGAGAGATCTGTGACACTGGGCTTCCTGGGACTAAATTATGTAATTGAAAGTTTTTTAGTAGAAAGTGAGGAAAAAAGAAACTAAAATGATCTGTGTGTGTATAATGCCGAAGGAAACAGGAAGTGCTGCAAGGGATTTTTTTTTTTTAATCTGTGGTTCATTGCACAGGATACTTCAAATAACTGGTCTTGCAGAAAGACTTATGTATGTAATTAAACTTTAAAGCAGATGATGGTGATGTTCTGATTTAAGATGCTGTATTTTGTTGCGTCAACAGTTATATGGTCTGATAAATCTCTATAAAAGCAGAGGGTAAAAAAAAATACAGGATTTATTAATTAGGCAGCAAATTGCTTGTGACAGTGGCAGTTGACAATATTGCTAAAGGCTTTTATATATGCTGCCAATCTAACATGTTAATGTGTATGTTAAAGTGAGGAAATACATTTTTCCCCTTTTTTCTCTCTCATACCTGATAATACCCATATTCTTGAAAACTTGACTGAATAACTATGGATAAGMATGTTAGCTTTTTACACTCTCCAAAACTTAAAGGGTATTTTTAAGGTTTATTTACATATTTTCACCACTATATGCCACAGGAGAACTTTGTGATTTATGAGATTCAGATAATTCATAGAATRTAAAGGAAAAATTCTTTAATTACTRTTCTCATTTGTAATTTCATAAAATCACTTTGCACACAAAATAGTTTTCAGCAGAGCAGATGTAGTGCTAAGTAACTTTGCAACTAGTTCATCAGTAGTTTTAATGAAGGACTTCAGCTCTTCTTACTTTGGCATTGATTTATCCTTATTATAAATTCTGATCTAATGTCTTAATCTTCTTTCAGTTACACATTCGCATCTGGTTCTCCAGATAATATTAAACAATGGAAATTCCCAGATGGAAACTTCATTCAGAACCTCTCTGGTCACAATGCTATTATCAACACACTGGCTGTAAATTCAGATGGAGTTTTGGTTTCAGGAGGTAAAATGAGAAATATTTCTCAGTATTTTCTTTCTTTCCTGTGCCTGGAGTGCCTTAGACAAAGATGCTCATGGAGCATCATGGAACAAGCTTCATTTCATAAGGAGAGGGTGACTTTATATTTTTTGGTGTTAACTGAATTGCATGCCCCAAAATTCATTCGAAAGTAGTGAACTTGTTCTTTTTCCATATCAGAATACTGCTTTTCTGTTTCTTTTGTGTGTTTGTGTGGGTACGTGAGTGTGRTTTTTATTTTAAGAAAATGTCGATSCAAACAGTATCTTACATCCTTATGTTGCCTACAACTTCAAAGAAGCTGATGCTTAAAATAAATTGAGCTTACCGTAGAGTTGCTTACCTTAGAAGCACATTGTACTGAAGAAGTTGTTTTTCTTGCATGCTTCAGAACAGGGAGCTCAGATATTCATGAGTGTGCTTTAGCTGAATCTGCTAGCAGTAATGACGACAGTGCTTTAAGCTGGTTGAATTAAGCTGAATGTTGTCGAGGTTCTTTGTCCCTTTCTGACAAATTCAGGAGTGAAGATTTGTGATTGATCCCTTTAACAGGGTGGTATCTCWTTGGGTCAATTTTTGTAGAGCTGCTGAATAGGGAACTGATTCACAGTTCAGTCCTTATCTCTGCTTTCAAACTATCTTGCTGCATTTGCCGTGTATCTTAGTCTGCCTCTTGATTATCTGATGCAGTTTGATGTGTTTCTGAGGAAACTTATGGCAGCCACCTTAAACTGGAATGGTCTTCCTTGTTTGAGAAGGAAAGAAGGAGAAAACAGTAAACTACTATGTGATGTGCAGAGTTATTCCACATGAACATTACAGTTAATGTGTTGCTGACTCACTAAAAAGCTATTTATGACAACTTTTGTTTGTCAAAACAAAGTTGTTTAGAAAAACAAGAAAAAAATGATTAAAGTTATAATGCTTTTTTTTTTTTCCCTCCCCCCCCCTTCTCTCCTTCAGCTGATAATGGGACTATGCATCTTTGGGACTGGAGAACTGGATATAATTTCCAGAGAGTACATGCAGCAGTACAGCCAGGCTCTTTGGACAGTGAATCAGGAATATTTGCTTGCATTTTTGACCAGTCAGAAAGCAGATTGCTAACTGCCGAAGCTGATAAAACCATAAAAGTGTACAGAGAAGATGAAACTGCTGTATGTTGAAGTTATTTTTTTAAACGTATTTTCATGAAATCAGTGAATTTGGAAGAACTGTTGTATAGCCATAGGAGTCATGCATGTGGATTTGTTCAGTTGGTCTTGTCATTAATGATAGAAAAGAGTATGTAATTACATAAAAAAAGAACAGCAGCAGCTAGTCTGTGAATTCCTGATTTCATATATACCACTATAGAAAGTGTTAGGTCCATCTATTCTTCTGCAAAAGTCTTTGTGATGCACTTTAGAGACATCTCATTATAAAAAAAATACATAATTTTGAAACCAGTAGGGAACTGCATTTAGAATATTAAAAGATAGGTATTAAACAAAGATAGTTTAAATTTTAAAGACTTACTGAACTTTTGTATATGATCTGGATTAAAAATTGAAGGTAGATGATAGGAATTCAGAATAAACATCTCAATTCCAAAATAATGTGCTAAATTTTGAATCGGTGATAGGTTACCGTATAGTTTCTGTTTACCTACCTGAGCCTGTCTTCAATGCAATAAGTCTTTGATGTAAATTAATATAAAAGCTTATATTCTTTATTATTATAATTATTCTTCATTATTATTATAATTTCATCTATATATATATATAGCTGTATAGCTGTATATGAAATAGGTTTTATAACCTATATAGGTAATATTTTAAACTGAATCCTARTTACAGATAAGGATATTTTTAACTTGAAACTTACAAAATTTTTCTTTTTTTCCCTTCAGACTGAAGAAACTCATCCTATCAGCTGGAAACCTGAAATTATCAAGAGAAAGCGATTTTAATATGGCTACATATGTACACTATAACTTCGTTTTGGCTTTTCTGAAAGTATTCAGTCATGCTATGTCTTTCCTAGAACAGCATAGCAGGAACTCAGCTAAAGTCATTGCTTTTCCAACATGTTTTATAATAAATTTTATTTCACTTTGTTTTTGTCTTTTTTGGTATGATCCCAGCACAGAAATTGCAGCTCTTAACTCCTTCACCTTTTAGAGCATTTATAATTCATGAAAAGGATAGCTGGTTCTTGACTGTGTGTGCAGGTGGTTATTTGATATTTTTATATACACACTGAGTGTAAGTCTAAAAGTACTATGTTGAGCCAGATTTTGTGGAAGACCTTTTCCTGACTGCAGAAGTTAATTGTAGATTCATGCATAGACACAATCCAATGGCAATTTTTGAGTAATATTTTTAAGTTGTAGGCTACTATTCTTTATAAATGCTAAGCATCTACTGTAATAGAACAGTATGTATACTAAATTATGGAATAATGGAATAATCAAGGAAGAGCAGAGCTATGTAATAATAATGTGCTTTGCTTAGTAAAGATACTGAGCATTAGTGGAGTTCTGTTATTGCATTTTTGACTTAGGGATATTGAAATATTGACTTTCAAAGTGCTTCTGTCTATAGAAATGTTTTCCTAAACAATTCCTCCTCTTTACTGGTTTCATTTCAATGTAGGCTTTGAAYAGCAAGGGCCACTGTTAAATTGTATGGTTTACAGTAAGCACCAGGTTTGGACCAGTTGATTTTACCTTTCTAAGTCATCTGTGTTTTGTTTTTATTCCAGTTATCCAAAGCATGTGTGACATTATAGATTGTAGGAAACTTCTGAAGCTGCTTTAAAAGCTCTTAAGTCATTCCAGTCTTGATTGTATTTGTGGCTGCTTCCCCACTACCATATTAAGAATTTTAAAAATGTTAAAGACAATGTTTCTGGAGGGGCAAAAACTTTGCTTGCAAAACAGTCATGTAATAGGTAATAACCACCTAAGCCTCCTTGCTGCAGCCTCTCGGTGAAGCTAGTGCTGTGCTGAGGCCCTTTCTTTTGCCTGGGAGGAAAAGCAGGAGTCATTCAGCCATTCAGTTGTTGACAATGTTGCTGACTTGGCTGATAGCTCAGAGGCGAGTTTCATACTGGGTAAACATAATTGTTTTGCGGACACTGGGTTGATAGTAACCATTTCTGCTTTTTGCCAGTCTGACACCTCTTTCCAAAGCTGTTAATCATGTTAGAGAAATTGTGCAGTTTGCTGAAAGTGCCTGGTATGCCCCATTTTGGATACTTGCAGTGTAACTTAACAAAATCTTGTGCAACTCGGTGTTGATCATATAAGTTTATTACTCCCATTATTTTTTTTTTTTTTATGATGCACAGGAATGCTGTCACATAAATACTGTAATTAAAATTTAAATGTTTGATATTTTTTTAAAAGAGTTCATGGTGCATAACTGAATTCTGTTTGAAAGCTGACTGTCAAATTGTCAAGCTGCATTGACTAAAACATCTTCACAGAATGCATTTGCACATACTGACTTGTTTGTTGCTGTTCTCCAGTATATGTTAAGTTTTGCCTTTCAGATCACTATATTTCAGAACAAAAAGAAAAGAAAACGGGAGTGGTGATGTTTTTAGAATTCTGAAAAGTATAAAAGCCCCCCACAAAATTGTGAAAAAAGTATTTTCTTTAAAGGGGTGCATTCAACTATAGTAGTTTAAATTTGCTTCTAAGAAACGCCCTAGATGTTTTCAAGACTCTGTGTGTTTTGTTTTTCCGTTTGCTATGTAGAAGTGTTGTTGCAGTGGGGAGGAGAGGGCAGGCAGACCACAGTGCCCTGCACGGATTCCCCTTTAGCCTGCTTCTGCCCATCGACCTTGCCTGCTGTCCTTACTCATAGGGCCAGGTTTCTTGCCATCTCAGAGCATGGAGAAAAGTAGGCAGGTTTTGTTGGATTAAATCTGTCTTATTTGGTTGATATGCTGAATCTTTTGATCTTTAGTACAGCTGTTTGCTGTTTGAAATAATGGAGTAAAATAAAGATTGTAGCCTATGCATTTCAGATTTTATGCCTYTATTCTGACTGTTAATGTATCGTTTCAGAAATCCATGAACTGTTTGATGTTTTGCAGAATTTTGTGGCTCACTAAAATCCTCAATAGGAAACCAGAGTGGAGAGGAGAATTTTATCAACTTGCTTGATAAGAAAGATATTTTTTGTGTGAGGATGTTAGGGTGTTGTTTGTTTTTGTTTTATTTTAAAGGATCTTTATTTCTTTTGACAATTTAGAATCAGGAAAAGAAAACTAAAAGTTTTGGCTTGTAATTCCTGCTCACCTCTGTATTGGCACCTTGTTTTAAAAACTGTAGTTCCAGCCCTGTTTATCCTATTGAAGATGCTGAGGAAGTCTCTTGCAGAGCCTGTGTTCGGTGCTGGAGGTGTGCAGGAAGACAGTACAGCAACACTGGTGGATTTTGGCAACCTTTGTGGTGCCTGGGATGCAGATTTGGTTGGCAAATTAAAGGCTGTGTCACTGTTTTGTGGGATTGCAGTTTTTGGCTTTGCAATATGCTGTTCCTGTTTTTAAGTTTTACTGTATTCTTTAACAGTTGATTTGCATGTCCGTTTTCTTACCAGCAGTTTTTTCTTCCACTTGAAAGTCTTAGTAATGTAACTATCATTACATGTACCTCTGTAAATTTATGGCACATTGAGATTAACATATTGAAGTGCTTCTCTAGTGCAAAGTAAGCCTAGGTAGCGAGATGTTAGACATGTCTGATCCATACAGATGTATGGTGAGATTAGACCTGTCCGTAGGAGTCATAACAGGAAGCAGAACAGGAGGATCTGGTTCACTGTTTATATTTTCCATGCTTCTGGAAAATGTCCTGCTGCAGTGTCAGTAACCGCAGCTTTGAATTGGAATCTAATCTCAGAACATAATTGTTGTCATTTATTTAATAAGTTTTGATGTTATCTCTCATGATATGATTATCAAATCATACCCATTTCTACCGCAAACCTTAGGTTTTATTTTATACTGTATATAACTACAGAGAAGAAGGAAATTTTTTTTTTTTTTGGATTGTAACACACTTCAAAAATGTGTAACCGGTGAAGGCGATAAATTTTAGGATCACTTTCTGTTGTATAAAAGAGCATCTAATGTAAGCCATGCAGCTAGAATGCTGTCATTTGTTGGCAGCATAAACTGTGCAGAATAGCATGTATTTGGCATATTGAAAGCTTGCATAAGTGCATCTTCATTAGACAAGTCTTTTTGGTCCTGTTAAATAAGAATTAGTGCAATGCCTGTTTTAAACAACAGCAATTTAGCCCTCAATAAAACCTGAAATATAATGTGATTTCATGTCATTTTTTTTCACTGTGGGTTTTGTAGTAAGGAGTATATAGAGCAACTAGATGTGTATTGACACTCAATTTAAGATGAAAAATGACTTCTTTCCACCTTACAGTAAAGAATATTTTTGCAGATGAGCTGTAATGGAGAGATAAAGAACCGATACCTCTTTGATGAAAGACTTCGCATCTCCTTGAAGTTTAGGGATTAGCAGAACTAACGTAGGATTATTAATGAATTCTGTAAAGTTTAAAGAGTTTTAAAGAAGTGTTGAGGTTTTGCTGCAGTCTAGGACATTCAGGATGGGAGCTGCAAGATGAAAGAAAAAAAGCTTAGAGTGAGTATTTCTATACAACTTGATGTGAACAAGGCTATGGCAGAAACTGGGGGCCTTGTTCATAATGGAACTGCTTGGAGTTTTGTCATTAATTTGAATTGACAATCTTGCTCAGTGTGGGATATTTTAATCTAAAATGGGTTGAAAAAAGCTTCAGTTGCACAGATAGGTGTAGGTATTCACACAAAATGTAGTTTTTGAACAAAAGGTTTGGATTTTTTTTTTTAAATGTGCCTTCTAAATCTTTTTTGTATACCTAAGAAAGTGGTATGGATTTTGAAAATCAATGAATACCAGTAAGTCTAATACAACTGAAAAGTAGCTGACCTGCAATTTGTTCCACACAATTTAACATCAAATTAGCAGGACTTGAAACTGGCATAAATGGGACTTCTAGGGGAAACGTCCCATGATTTCTGTAGAAATATGCAATTAACTGAATATACAGCCACATAAAAGAAGGTCCAATTATGCAGACTAACACTGAAAGCAGCAGCTACTTTAGGGAGATGGTAATAAATTGCCTCCTGCTTTTTCTTTTAGTGAAGAAAGAAATTAAGAAAAAACATCCTATTACTAACCATTTTCATTCAAAGACCATCTGCAGTTAGTGAATCATTTAATTCCTTTGGGGCACATAAGTTTTCAGTTGAAATATGTTGAAATGCTGCATGAAGAAAGAAGCTTTTTCTGTCATTTTTACCTGCAGTTCCAAACCTTTAGTGGCAGGATACTGAAGAGCTCACTGCTGGCCATTTAGGTGGAGCTCATCTGTCSTTCTGAGAGATGCTGTATGATGCCTCCTTCATGGTAGCAGCTAAAAGTCATTTGTGTGCCTCTTAGATCCTACTGATACCTTGTGAGTTTAGCTCAATCCTTAATAAATCAGGAATAGGCTAAAAGCTGGCAGAAAAGGTATAGATGGGATGGAGAATAAGTTACTTTTGTCTAATGCTGATTCTTTCAAGAATTGTCATGCACAGAGGGGAATCTGCAGTTCTTGTCAATATTTTCAGTGAGCTTCTGAAAGCAAGCCCTGTCTGCAGGGCTATCAAAACGTAATCACCTCAGTGAAGACTCTCCTGCATTTTTATTATGCTTCCTTTCTTAAAAAAAAAAAGTAAATAAAAATTGACTGATGAAGGGTGATTCTGTATTTTAACTTCATCAGCTACGTCTCAGAAGCATGAAAGCATAAATATTCATGAATTAGTTTTGATGTTGGAAACTACACAAGACTTTTTCTAGCAAAATGCCATATAATCTAACCAAAAGAAATTTTCTTTAATAATTGACATGTGTTCCAGCAATAACAGTAAAGCAGCCCTCAAAGATGCTTTTAAAAGGGGCAAGCAAAATCTAGACTTTGCTTTAAATAGGAACTAGAGACAAGATATATTCCTGAAAAGCCTTTAAAGATTTTGATATTAAAGGATGTGCAGAATTAACCCTTAAATGTTACTATGTAATATATAGTGTATAGTGTGTATGTGTGTAGTATACGTTTTATATATATATATATATATATATAAAATAAAAAATACCAGTTTTGTAATGTCTAGTTGTGAGCCTTTTATTAAGTAACATATTAAGGTTTCTTCATATGCATGTTGTCACCAAACTTGCTGTTAACCTTCCTTTTGGGTTTTCCTTTCTAATGTAAGGAATATGCATATTCCAGATGTGTGGCTAAAGATGGATTAACTGTGGCTATTGTCTGCAAATCAGACCTCAACAGCTGAGGTGACCATTCAACTCATGTTAGGTAASGATGGCCGAAATCACTGACAAGAAAACAGCAGCTGAAAGGTAAGTTTTGTAGGCTTGGAAACTGTTGTGTTTCCTCCCACCTCCTTTCCCTCCCCTCTTTAAAAAAGGAAAATTCCTTGTGCTTGTGTTCCAGAAGAGCAGCTAACGTGTCTGAGAAACTCTTGTTTCTGCCAACATTTAGTTGCAACCTCTCCGTTTTCAGAAAGAGGAGACTTGCAATAGGCACCTCACGTGCCTTTTACTATTTCTGCTGCATTAGCACCTTGCGGGGCAATGGGGGGGCTTTTGTGTGCTGCAAGTCTCTCATTTCCAACTCGAGCATTGCTCAGAGGAGGGCGCAAAGAACAGTTAATGCAGCTTCGGTCTGAACTGTGAATAGCAGGAGCTTGTTGGTAAAGGAAAGGGTTTCCTGGGAATCCCAGATAAGTTCTCAGGCAGGTGAAAAGGACAGTATAAAAATTAAGATTAGTGAGATCAGAGCTGTGCCATCTGAAAGGAAATGCTTGAAAGGGAAGACAGAGGAGAGGGGATGTTTCTGGATTAGGGAGATGCTGTGCAGGTACTGATGCTGGAATAGAAAAGAGGGCAATGTTAATGTGGTTATAGTCGATAGTCAAAATGAAAATATGGACACCCTGATGCAAAGCCTTTTGCCAACAGCCAATAAATGTATTTCTGAGAAATACTGGTATCATGTTCCAGTATGTTCAGATGCTGAAGTAGAACTCAACTTGAGAAAGCTTTATTGTACATGAGGAAAGYAAAGCAATGCAGAGTTAGGAGTCTGGAGACATTTGCTGCTACAGAGGGATTTTTTATACTTACAGGGTAAAGCTCCTGTAAGTATAACTCTAAACAAGGCTTAAGAATAAAGCTTGAAGATTGAAGCCAAAACTTGCATTGTGAATAGCTCAGAAAAAAAAAATGGACCAAAATTGTAGTTGATTGCATGTAAGGATACCTGTAACACGGAAATGAGGGCGTTACTGAATGGTATGAGTTTGTAAGTGGGGAGCATGGTGCTGACGGGATGTATTGCTGGGGGAGACTCTCCCGTGATAAATGAGGGTGTAGCCTGAGCAGTCGGAAGAACCTGTGAGCCCCATCGGACAGATGGATTTCCTAGGAAAGAACACCAAGAATCCTAACATGACTTAACTGTTTCCAAGCAAATCCCCTTGACAAGCAAGCTTCCTGTAATTGACAATTAGAGATCTGCTCTCAATAAAGTAGGAATATAGAGTACTAACAGAAAAATTCCATATAAACATCCAAACATGGCTTAAGCTGCCAGATGAGTCAAATTTCATGTCCTTTTAAGTCTGCTAATTCTTTTCTGCTCATTCAATTTCTCTTCTTCCCATGCAGCACAGTAATGGACATGCTCCTCTTAAAGCTTGGCAATGCAAACCTCCCAGGATCCATCGATTCTGCTACTGACTTTGTTCCCTTTTGGAGCTGAAAAAGTGAAAGGCTTTTGCTCTTCTGTGTTGCTTTAAATCAGGGTTTAACAGGAAATTGAAAAGTAACTGGTGAATCAAACTCACCATGATAGCTAAAGGAAATTATAGATAAAAATGTTTGCTGCTAATAACAKGAACACAGTGGAATGTAGTGTCTTTGTCTTCCTCTAGAGGAAGAGGAGGAACTTCCTCTGTGTTCTCCACTTCCTTACTGTTGTTGGTATGTGCGGCTACCAGGTTAATGGCAGGAAAAAAATTGTGTTGCTGTGTGGGGTGATGATGTGTGCAACAGGAGAGCACACTTTGGAGCTTCAGAAGCTGAAAGAAATGTCCAAGCACTTTCCAGTAACATAGCCCTGTAATCTACGGCAATGCTTTTCTTTAAGCAGTGTTCTCTCTCTGAGGTTTCAATTTCCTCCTGATTTTTTTTTTAAGACAACTGTAAGCTTTAATGGGGAAAACATTGCTAAGAAATTGGAAGCTATCTCTACTCTGTATCTTCAGCCTGATTAATTACGACCTGGTAATTCCTCTGTTTTCTTCTTTTCCAAAAAAATTTCTCATGGACTACTTTCAGCAGCAGAATCCCTGAGGAACCTGTAAGATACTCCGCTGTTCTGGACAGCTTAATACTGTAGGAACAGCATACAACGTTATGGATTGTTCTTCAGGTCCCCAAGTAGCTCTGCAGCTCACAGCATCAAATGCAGTGACTGAACTGTGTGGTGGGGGTGTTCGTGGTGGGAAATGATTCTTGAAGGAGGGAAAGGAGAGAATGGCTAAAACCTTATTTACTCTCCTGCCCTATAATTTAAAGTTGACAGATGGCTGTTCTTCCTCCAGCCTTCCTGCTTTATTTTTCTTGAGTGATCTTTCTCCTGATACAGCACACTGTATAAAATGCTCTGGTAGTTGCTAGAAACACCCCACAGTGTTTTTTAATAACAATCCGATAAAAATTTTCAGGCTTTCTGCAGAAGTTCAACTGGTGAATGTTAAAACTGAATGCGAAGGRCCAAGAAAACCCAAGCCAAACTTAGTTAAGTTGTTCCCATGTGGTATTTCTCTTTAACCTCCCGTTGTCCTCAGCAGTCTRTCTGCATTAGCTTTCCCTAGAACAAACAGGCATAAAACAAGTCAAGGTGCTTGCTTTATACTGGTGAAGTAGCTGAGCCCAACAAGACATGGTGGAGGAATCCCCAAATCTATCTGCCCGTGAAAGGCTGATTTCCTTGAGATGGAAAAATGTCTASTTGGTTTCCAAGTGTTTCATGCAGTGTTCTTCACTATTTTACTGAATTTCTTCAGCTCTGTAAGTATTTGCTATGAATAGAGTAGTAAAGTTACCTAGTATTGCTGGCAATGCAGGTCAGTGGATGGAACTTTTGAATTTGTTGTAAAATTGAAGTCATGTGAATATTCCGAGAGATGTAAAACTTAAAATAACTTGTATTCCTTACTATATCACAGATACAGTCACAGACAAAGATCACAGACAAAAAGCCACAGCCAATAATGGTTGGGGCTATATCTCCATCCATGTATTTTTTAAAAAGAAAGTCTGGAAGTTCTCATCTATTCAAGGAGAAAACAGAATGAATGAGAAGGAGAAATGTCTACATACTAGTCTGTAAAGGTAGGCCTTGGATCATGTTTATTCGGGAGGACTTCATCTGTGCTGAGAAACGTAACTGATATCTGTACAGAGAGGAAAGTCGTAACTAGAAAACATAACTAGTGCCAATTATTTGTAGGGACACTTACAATTAACCACCAGCAGCCAACATCTTAAAAAATAATTCAGCTGTTGTTATTCATACCTCATACCTCATGGTAACCTTGTATTTTCACCTTGTCCTAATTTTAAGACATGTCAGCTCACACATTTTTTAATGTGGTGCTTTTCTCTGGTGTCAACRGGGCCTAGGTAATCAGGTAATATTGGTGGAATTTAGAAATGTTTCAAGGGGGGACAATGCACTTTGTCAAGAACAAGAAACCATTTTCTTCCATCTTTTTTTCTTCTTCTTCATACRTTTTGTTGAAAGCTTTTCTTGCACATTTTCTCATGCAGTTTACGTGAAGCCTCTTCTCTTGCAGCAAGACTCTGCCCCTTCCCCCAATTTTGTCCAAAGCCCGTGGGCATCTTTGCTCGTATAATAATTGGTTGCTTCCTATAATGCTCTGTGCATTCCTGTGCACCACATTTCAGAGATGGTGCATATGTGTGTCAGGAAGGATGACACACAACTGCTTGCTTGCTTTCCTTCGGTGGTTAAGGAGAGGGAGAGGGAGTGGGAGCTCTGTTTCTGGGCTCACATTCCCTTCTAAAATTCCTTGTGGGCTTGTGGAATCAAGAACTTAGAGTGTAACTTAGTTGCTTGACGTGTCTGAAAGAATCACAACAATAAAAATGTTTCAGATTTATCATGTACCACAATAAGTATTGAATGCAAAATTGTACGTTCATATGCTTCCCTTCCAAAGAATGGGGTGGGGATTGTTTTTGCCTTTGAGATGAGGACAGGGCAGCATTACTCATTCACTCTATAGGGTTTTTAAATTTAGTTTGATAAGATCAGTTTAGTTCAGAGAAGAGAAAGTGCAAGTTTTTACATACAGTGAGCTGCAACGTGCAGCTGCTGGGCACTGTTGAGCCTGTGCTGCTGCTACCATCACCCCCAGGATCCTTGGACTTCTTGGGAGGGGAAGGCTGGTTCCAGTGAAACRCCGAGGTGCAGCTGGCGAGGCTGATGTACATGACTGCAGGGCATCCACTTAAAAAGGCCACTCCAGTCTCCCTTTTCATTAAAAATGTGAGGTGTTTATGCCAAACCTAGTGTTGTTCCCCTCAACTCTCTACTTGTATGAAAGATATTAAGCTAGAAAAATAAAACACACACACATTCTTGAAGAAACAAAATAGGGGAAGCTACATTTGCAACTCCTCTTTCACATACTTTTTTTTCTCGTTTTAAATTAAGCATCAAGACAGCAGTGCTGTGAGTTACAGCATGCATATGTGTGTGGTGATCATTGCAGTTGTAACCCATACTGGGCAGAGGAGAGGAGGAAATGTTGCTTGTAGATGCTCTGCTCTGAAGTCTTCTCAGTGTTGCCAAAATCTCTCCATTGGCATTTTCTTCGTATCTGTCTCATTGGAGCCAGGCATTTGTTTCCCATTATTTGTCTCGGGTAACAGGAAAAGTTTATTTCATATTACTCTTACATAATGTTTTTTAAATAATAGAAAAACAGCACACTCCATGAATTGTTGGATAAATTCTTGAAGGATAATTTGCTCCCTTTGCTTCTTGTTCTTCTTTTTGCTCATTTTCCTTCCTTCTTCTTTCTGTCTTTCCTTTGCTGTGAGACAGGGCTGCTCACTCTCACAGCAAGAGTTTTCATGTGATTCTCGTGCACACCGCGCTTCACGCAGATACTGTGAGAAAGTAAAGGTTTGGTTTTTCTTTTTTTTTTTTTCTTTTTTTTCTTTTTATTTTCCTCCTGTTTGTCATGCAGATTTGAGGTGTTTCATGTGATAGGAATGTGATGTGATGGATTGGAGGTACCAGGGATAAGAGAATGGTAGGTGAAAAGAGCAAGGTGTAGTTAAGAAGAAATAGGATAATTTTTTAAATATCTCTCTCGGCTGCAAGTCACTTTGTCTTTTTGTCACTTTGTCACATTGAAACTTGGTGACTTTCGCTAAAATTCCTACATATATTCCAGGGCTTTTCTGCTTTAGCAGAGGAAGTAGGAGAAAATAAATAAATAAATAGAAGTGCATGCACAAGAGTTTGAGTGTTGAGGAATAACTCCAAAGTGAGATTTTTCWTGTGCTCTGTCTGTCCAATAAACCCTCAACAGGAGTAAGACCATGAGCTCAAGCCTTCCAAGTCTCATTCTATAAAGCTTCCATATCAAGCCCTACCATTTTCCCTTTCTTTCCCTAAGCAAAGTTGAAGCCAACAGATAAGTCTTGCCTCATAGCCCAAAGGTCAATAAATTGAATTGACACACCTGTGGGGGAAATAAAAAATTACATTATCCTCAGTGCTGCATTTTCTAAAATATCCTTTCTCTGCCAGTATTTCAGTCATAAGCCCCTTGCAGCAATTTCTGTAGTTATATTTGTGGCTTGAAGCAATTCTAGTAATAGTAATAACAGGGGTGCTCATTTCTACCATACTGTGTGGTTTCATTTTTCAAAGTGTATTCAGTTACAATCAGTTAGTACTAATTTAGGTGAGGCAGACAGGAAAAAGGCAAGCTAGGACTGCTGGCAAAACCTTCTCACCCCTTTCAAAATGCTCCAAGAATGTTAAGGTACTGCTTTTCTTTTCTAATGTTTTTCTGCAGCTTAGAAAGTGGCAAACCAAAGGACCAAACCTTGCTCCCTCTAAACATCTGTTTAAAACTTTAGTTAAACCACTTTCCTTTTCTGGCATAAAACACTAACAAATATAGCCTTGCCTTTTCTCTGCATTTCTTCAAAGAGAGAGAAAGCCATAGACTAACAGCAATATTAGCCTTTGAGCCTCTTATCTCCCTAATAGAAATGCCAAACAACATGAAGTGGTTATCTGAACTTAAGCATGCATYAACTTCCTGCATCAAATGGCTGCTTTAGGTCTAGCTGGTAAAGAGAGAATCACATTTCCCTCCACTCTGTTGAACTGTTACCTACCTGAATCCATGTGCAGGGATCMCAAACTCACAAAGGAATTATTCAGTAGGACTTAATCAAGTTCCCAAGATCCCCTAAAGCCCTTCCTGCTTTCCCAAAAGATACCAACTTTTCCGACCATCTCCACCTCTTGAGGAGTTGTCCGCCTCACACCTACCACACACAGTTTCATCGATGTGCTATCGATGCTGCTGCTTCTGGTTTGGGGATGTCGGAYGGAGGTGTGCTGGGGTAGATGAAAGCCTCCTGGTCCACTGCTCCTACGTGAAGTTAGTGGCTTCAGGTGAGGAGCTCGTGAGGGCTGCAAGCGATGATGTGGCTGTGTCAGACCATCACCCTGCTTGGCCTCTGTTACAGACCTGCAGTTCTCTGGAAGTTTTCTTGGTTTGTTCAGTCTGATCTGTCTTCTTTTCACAAGATCTGTTCTCCCTTGTGATCAGGTAATTGCCATTGTACTTGTAGAGGGCAATTTCAATAATTTCCCCTCTCCTTAACCTTTCTACTTCACAGTTTATTCTTTGTTCTGCGGTGTGTTTGTGTTTGAAATTGGACGTGGAATCATATTTGAGTGGAGAAAAAAAAAGGGTAAGACCCAAACTGTGCTGTTACACACTATTAACAACAGGACCAGCYGCCAGCAAGCTCACTCTATAATGCCAAACAGAGACTACACACAGTACAAACTCCAAACAATTTGCATTATTTTCTGAAGAAACTATYCTAAATCAAGTTTCTAGTGGGGAATATTGGTACTAAAGTGATTTTGGAAAAAGGAACATCTATCACTAGGCAAATGCAGAGCTTTTGTCTAGTATGTGCTACATTCAAGGAAATGTAGGTAAAAAGGTTTATTTTGGAACTTACTAGAAGAAATCCTGTCCCATTAGAGTAAATGGGAGATTTGCCATTGGCTTCAGTCAGGCTAGCATTTCACCCACTATTTTTCACATATGTTTTTGTATGTTAAAGTGATTYATTAATGAACTAAAACAATACCCGTAGAGAAACGAGGATTGTACTTCTTTACCTTGTAGGGGCTGGAGGGTGCAATCTTAATCTGTTGCTTACTGTATCAGGGCTCTTGGAAAGGGACATGATCAAGGAATCTTTACTAAATTATGAGCACATCCCTTATCAGCAATCCAACAACATTACACGGTTTAGTCAAAAAGGTGCACAGATGGGAAGATGTCTGAAACTGGCTCTAAATGGGGCTGAGGTGTTTTTGTCTTGGTGGGAGTGTAATAATTATAGTATTTTGCCCTTTGCAGATGAGCGTTCATGTATTAGTTAATCCARGTCTGTAGTCCAGAGGACTGGTTGTATTTCCAGCCCTGTTATAGCTGCATTTCTATATGCTCAGAACAG